CCACACTGAGCCTGCACACCCATTCTTCTCTTCTCCCACCTCGCCTCTGCTCATTCGCCTCCTTCCTATCTCTGCTTCAAAGTAAGTCTCCTTTTCCCCTTTCATTCGCCGCTTTTTCCACTCTTCTTTCTCCTTAGATTTGTTCAACGCTATTTTTGTTGCATCTTCTATGTGAGAATGCTACCTGCCGCATCTGAATCCTATCTTGATGTTTATGTATTTCATGATTTATCTCCATATTTCTTTATCTATGTTTATGAAACGTACTAGATTGTGGCGATCTGTCCTTCTACTTCCGATCTTCTTCGGCTGAGATCTCCCATCTTTCTATAATCTAATCTATGCTTTTATTTGTCAAATGTGGATAGTTGTCGGTTCCGTATTCCAGCGTTCGATGCCTTTATGCTCTGATCTGGTTTTCCTTTCTTTATTATACTATTCATCTCTCCGTGTAATACGCCATTTGATCCATTTGGTATTTAGGAACTTAAGATATCCTGTGTCAGAGGAATGTTGAGATTTAACTAGGAGCTGCACATGCTTACTTCCTATGTGTATTCTACGATATTTTCCGCTCATTTTTTAAGTTTTCCTAGTTTCACTTAAAAAAAATGCAAATGATCGCCTCCTTTGTTTGTCAATTATTTATTTGCATTTGCTATTGTGTTCTTTCTTTATAAACCTCAATTTATGTACCTTATGTTTCTATGGAATTATAAAGTAGATCATATAATATACTGAATTGTTTAATTTACCAAATTTCTTCATGCTTGAAATGTCCGCTTTCTGACATGAAGGTAGTGTGTTGGAGATCTCACATCTAACTAGTGATATAGCTTATATAGTGTATATAACTCGGAAGCAATATTCATCTTACAAACTGGTTTTGTAAAGTTGAGTTAGGTTCAAACTCACATTCTTAAGATAAACAAAGAACCGGTGTCTCATTTTGAAAATGAGAGTTTGAAATGAACCTAATCCTAAAGTCTGTGAATGGCTGGCTCTGTAGGTTGTTTTATTCAATTTGTTGGTATTGACAATTTGTGTTATGCTTACTGTAGTTTGGTAAAAAATGGCTGATACTGAGGATATTCAACCCCTTGTTTGTGACAATGGAACTGGAATGGTGAAGGTTAGTACTCTGCAGTTTCTTCTGCTATGGTGTAATTTTGTTGCATCTTTTAGTCTTAGTTTCATTATTGAATATTTTGTTTATATAATGTGTGTACAGGCGGGGTTTGCTGGTGATGATGCTCCTAGGGCTGTGTTTCCCAGTATTGTTGGCCGACCTCGTCATACTGGTGTTATGGTTGGGATGGGTCAAAAGGATGCCTATGTAGGTGATGAAGCCCAGTCAAAAAGAGGTATTCTTACTCTGAAGTACCCAATTGAGCATGGTATAGTCAGTAACTGGGATGACATGGAAAAGATCTGGCATCACACATTTTACAATGAGTTGCGTGTTGCTCCTGAGGAGCACCCAGTGCTTCTAACTGAGGCTCCACTCAACCCTAAGGCCAACAGAGAAAAAATGACTCAAATTATGTTTGAGACCTTCAATGTGCCCGCCATGTATGTGGCCATCCAGGCTGTTCTCTCCCTTTATGCAAGTGGTCGCACAACTGGTTTGTATTTGTATCCATCTGTCTCAATTTGTGCGGTTGTGATCACATTATTCTCTCCCTGACTCAAATCCTTTCTGAAACAGGTATTGTTTTGGACTCTGGTGATGGTGTGAGTCACACTGTGCCAATCTATGAGGGCTATGCACTTCCACACGCAATCCTTCGTTTGGATCTTGCCGGCCGTGATCTAACTGACTCTTTGATGAAGATCCTCACTGAGAGAGGGTACATGTTCACCACCTCTGCTGAGCGGGAAATTGTTCGTGACATGAAGGAGAAGCTTGCGTATGTTGCCTTGGATTATGAACAAGAACTTGAGACTGCAAAGAGCAGTTCTTCAGTCGAGAAAAACTACGAGCTTCCTGATGGACAAGTTATCACAATTGGAGCTGAGAGATTCCGTTGCCCTGAAGTTCTTTTCCAGCCTTCTATGATTGGAATGGAAGCTGCGGGAATTCACGAGACCACCTACAACTCTATCATGAAGTGTGACGTGGATATCAGAAAGGATCTTTATGGCAACATTGTTCTTAGTGGTGGTTCAACTATGTTCCCTGGTATTGCTGACCGTATGAGCAAGGAGATCACTGCACTTGCTCCTAGCAGCATGAAGATTAAGGTTGTGGCACCACCAGAGAGAAAGTACAGTGTCTGGATTGGAGGATCAATCCTTGCATCCCTCAGCACCTTCCAGCAGGTGATTGTTTTATTACAAATTTGCTTTTCCCCACGTATGCCAAATTGCCAATTAAGATTGAACTCTAAAACTTGTTTTGGTTTTGCAGATGTGGATATCGAAGGGTGAATATGACGAGTCTGGTCCATCCATTGTCCACAGGAAGTGCTTCTAAGTCCAAAAAATGCTTTAATGGTGAGTTATTTTATTTTTTTTGCTGTGGTTGCTTTTTTGGTGTCTGTCATGTCATGCGAACTATGTTGCGATGAATAAGGGGTGGGACAGGATCATTGGAGGGTATATTCCGAGCTTAGTGTATCATATTTTGTGTGGCATCCCTCTGGATGTGGTGGGCAAGTTGGTTGAGAAGCATTTTTCGCCTTGGAATTCATCCATGTCTCCGTAAGTAGGTTGTCTGTAGCAAAGGAGTGATTGTGATGCTTATTTTATTTTCCTTTTACACCCTTTTTTTCAGAGTTCACATTTTATTTTTGGCCTTTGGAACATTAATGTGAATGTCTATAGCTACATGTATCGAGGGTGCAAAGAATATTGTCAGTTCGCGCTCATAAATTATCAGATTGAGTATATTCTTAAATCACTTGCCCTATAAGTTGAGTGTGCTATTGATATGATAACGCTTACTAGCTGTAATGACTGGTCTATGATCTTCATCGCTCTCCTCGGGAATGGTAGGGGTACCAGCAAGATCCCTGATTAAGAATTACGAAGGCAAGGACAAGTTTTAAATATTCCCTAATTTTACAATCGGTTAAATTTAATTTTAATATTTTAGTATTAATTTATTAATGTGTATGATTATGCTCTGCTACGTGTTATGTTTTTATTGGAGTAAACAATTTCAGATTACGAAAGAATAATCTTACATTCAAACCTAGCGGACAGACGATACAATACAGTATTATAAAATGAGAAAACAGTCGGGTTGTCGTTGAGCATAAAACAAAATATGGTGATTGGATGGATTTGGCGCTTTTATAATCAACAACTCATTTGAGGGTAAAGTAAATAATTTTAAATATTAATTAAATTATCAACATTGATGTATTGTGCATGTATGTATAACAAATTATGTATGAGCTATAATAATAATCTTATTTTTTTAGAATACATATTTTTATCTTTATTCACTTCAAAGAATTAAATCTGTGTTGATTATCGTTTGTGACGACCTTGGAGGGGACTATTGGAATAGAAATGGTAAAGTCCTTATCAAAGAAGAGAAGAAACGATGATGTGTATGATGAGTTTTAATGTTTTAGTATGAACTTGTTACTGTGTATGCTTTTGCACTTTTGCGTTTTATGTTTTTAGTTGAGCAAGTAATTTCGGATAAAAGAAAACTTACATTCAAACCTGAAGGATGGTCGATAAACGAAAATTTTCGATAAAAAACAAAGTAATCATTTTTATTCGATTTATACATCAACCAAATAAACTCCATTCTCACGAGACCAGTACGGGCACGCTGGTCGATTTGGTTTAGCTTTGTATTTTGTAGAGAGGAAAGAAATAGATAAAAAAAAAATAGAAATTTGGTTATTTGATTAAAAAAAAGGTGAAAAAAGTGTGAAAGATAAGGTATATATAAGAGAAAAGGGAGAGAAATAAATAAATAAAAAGGTAAGATTCATCATCATTTAATTTCTCTTTTCTCTATTTCTCTTCAATTAAATAATCTTTCTCATTTTCACTCTTATTTTCATTTTCACCATCCCATTTCTTCTCTATCAAATAAGGCATTAGAGAAAGAAAAAAAGTTTACCACATGAAGATCAGTTTAATTTTGGTTAAATTTACAATTTTTTTTTACCAAGACCAAACTAAACCAACTTGGTTCATTTGGTTTCGCACACAACAGAAATCGAATTCGGGTTAATTGATTTGAATAACCATATTTTTAGCTAAAATATCGCATTATACATATAAGAAAATAAAATAAAATTAGAGAGGAGGTTTATGAAAAATGTTCTATTGTGTATGTATATAATAATAATAATAATAATAATAATAAATAAATAAATAAATAAATTGCTCCGGCCACCGGCAAAGTGAAGAAGCCTCGCAGATTGAGGCCAGGCCAGGAACTGTGCCTGTGACTGTAGTCTTGAGAGATGAGCAAAGCAAGGAACTGCTAGTTTGAAAGCAGAGGCATTTCAAGAGGCAAAAAAATATCAATACGGAAGTAGCACTTATTTATAGTTTAACTCGATCTTCACATGATATATATGAGTTTTCAACTCATAAAATAACTAATAACACTTGTGTAATAAATAGAGATCCTATAATTCAGAATACCTAATAACTCCACCCAGGCCTATTTGATAGGGTTATTTGAGGACACACCAAAGATTATGCCAAGAGAGACACAATTGTGCCCAACGACATTCACCTTAACAGACTTATTACCTTTGATCTTCATTACCGACATCATAATCTTTCTTGGTAATAAAAAAATTAACTTTTATACTTCAATGCCAAGTAAAAGATGCAACATTGTTTTGAATTGCAAAATACTTTTTTTTACCATCAAACGTGTAGATGAATTGATATAAAATTATTTCAATTTAACAATATTGAATTTGATTATAATCAATTGATATAGAATTATTTAAGTTTAACCAATAGTATTAATTATTAAAATCGAGTCCTAAAATACTCAAAGGAAAAATTTACTGTTTATTAAAAGGAAATAATTATTATTAATCTTAAAATTAGTGATGCCATTGCCAGCAACCAAAATTTGGTGCTGACTACGAGGACTAGTAATACATTAAGCTTCATTGAGGTTTATGACAGCCTTGGCCATGCTTACCCTTGTACAGAAAATGAACATAAGAAAATCTTAATCAAACCCTAAGAAACCTTGGTAAACTCATCTACAAAATCATAGAAATAGACTCATAATATTTTAGCAGATGCTTATTCCTTTTACCCTGGAGGGGGAGCAGCACGCTTCAACCACTATGCATCCAAAGCATGCACCGCTGATAGTTTGTGTAGACTTTCCTTTGGTGTTCTGTTTTTTCCTTGCTTCATTAGCTCTATAAACCCCCTAAAAGCTGCATTATCAACAATCACTTTGGTTATTTATGGATCAAATCCAAATATAACATTCGTATCAAGAAATGAGAAAAGGAAATTAATTGCAATAAAGACATCCTAGATAATTCACAATTCTGCCATTGAACCTGACATTTCTCAAGATGGTAATGCCAGTAGGTTGATGATCATATCAAGCTTTTTCCTTTTTTATTTCTTTAATGAACTTCAAGTTTTAAGTATCTCACCGTAGTCAGAATCATGAGGCCCAGGGGATGCTTCAGGATGGTATTGAAGAGACACAAGTCTTTGAGCAGGGAAAGCAAGACCGGCACAACTTCCATCATTAAGATTGATATGAGTAACCTCCACTCCCTCTGGCAGTGTGGCTGGGTCAACAGCATAGTTGTGGTTCTGCCAATTTATACAGCAATATAATGACACAAGTTCATAAATATAACAACAACATAGTTGCATAACATGAAAAGCTTTTAAAGAAAGGAACACAGAAGCCACCTCCAGTCAGTTCATTTTGTTTCAGAGACATGATTGACACAAGAAATGTAGGAATTGGACTTGCATATATTATTTTCAGTTCAACATGTTTGCTGCAATATGTAGAATTTGTTAAGCTGATTTTTGACTCATCACAAGCCTAAAGGTCCAATAATGACCATGAGTTGATACAACGGGAGCATGGAACTGAACTGATGGTACCAATTATTGCATAGTTTTTTTCTAACACAAGTCACTATTATAATCAGTTCTGGTTTAACAGGTTCCAACCCTTATGATTTATGAGACAAAAAATATAGGTCTGTAACATGTTTATCTCAGTCAGCAAACGTAATGCTAACAGAATCAGATAGACAAAGTATAATTAATAATTATGGTGAAACACCAAGAAGTAAGAAATAAGAAGTTACAGAAAATCATCCTTTAGTTCACATACCTGAGCACTAATTTCAACATGGCCAGTTTGAAGGTTACGAACAGGATGATTTCCTCCATGGTGACCAAATTTCATCTTGAAGGTTTTACCTCCTAAAGCCTGGCCCAGCAATTGATGGCCCATGCAAATTCCAAAAACAGGCACCTTTCCGATAATATTCTTTACTGTTTCAACGGCATAAGGAACAGCAGATGGATCACCAGGGCCATTGCTGAAAAGGACTCCATCTGGCTTCATCTTCAGAGTCTCTGATGCTGGCCACGTAGATGGCACAACAGTAATTTTGCAGCCATAAGATGCAAGGCGCCTGAGTATATTATGCTTGATTCCAAAATCATATGCAACTACCTGCAATTTCATTTATCAGCATGTAGCATAAATTAAATTACCCAATAGTTAAAAAAAAGTCAGTACAAACAGCATACTGCATTACTTACATGGAAAGTCTCTCCTGGCACTTTATTGGAACTAAACTCCCATTCTTGCTTAGTTTTGTCAACCCATTCATGTGGAGTTTTGCATGATACACCACTTATTAGATCAATACCTGGAAAATGAAATAGCAATAGCATCCATTTAATTCCATTTTTAGAAACATTTGCTGATTTGTATAACCTCAAAGACTCGTTTCCATACCAACAATGTCCCAAGACTTAGACATCTTAAGCAGTTCCTCATCCGATTTGGAATTGTCAGTGCTCAAGACACCAATAAGACTGCCATCTTGCCGCAATCTGCGTGTGATTGCACGAGTATCAACATCATCTGTTGCATCACAAAGCACCATCAAAACCAAAAGCAAAATCTCAAGTTATGCAGAATGCAGAGAGCAACATTCTTCTCGAAACATATTTTGTACAAAACACTCACAAATTCCCATGATATTCCTTTCGGCCAAGTAATCACCGAGATCCTTCGCACATCTCCAGTTAGAGGTACTGCATAAACATTCATCACAAAAAGACAAAAAGAGTAAGTAGACAACCAAAAAAAAAAGCTCAATCAACGGAAAAAAAAAAATCTCCAAAGCACAAGAACAGAACCTGATGCTCAAACTTCTAATTACAAGACCAGCAAGGAAACACTGTATTGATTCCTCATCATCTGGCAAAACAATGAACCAAAACACAATTTTTCAAATGGCTTCCAACCACAACGACTCAACACTCACCAGAATCATAAAAATAAAAACTAACCAAAATTTACACCAGTGTTCCCAATATGTGGGTTTGTCATCAGCACAAACTGGCCAGCATAACTAGGGTCTGTCAAAATTTCCTGATACCTGAAAATCACACACACAAACATAATTAGTATGCAAGCAAGCCATAAAAAAATCAACACACCCCAAGATTCAAACTTTTCCTCACCCTGTCAATGATGTGTTAAAAACAACTTCGCCAACTTGTGTCCCCGAAGCACCAAACGACTTTGCCTTCCAAATTGAACCATCTTCCAGCACAAGTCTAGCATCTGAGTTTTTCCAAGGCCTCTCTCCATTACCTATGTCACATGCAACAGAACCGCGTCAAATGGTCTGAACCACGCAGGGGTAACAAATGGGCAATACCCTCCAACATGGGACATTCGCATCAAAAGGGCAAAAGGAATGGTCTTTTTCATGGCACGAAATGCGGCACGAGATGGGTCCGTGAGAAAAGAAAACGGTTTCAAAAAGAGAGAGAGGGGTTACCGGAAGAGCATCTGACGGTAAAGATGGAAACTTTGGTGGCGGCGTGTGGTGGGTTGGAAGAGAAGGGGTTGGTGAGGTCATTGAGAGAGAGAGCGAAGGATAAAGCTTTTGTCGCCATTGAAGGTCGCAGCAGTGTTGCAGATATCTCTCTCTGTCTGTCGTACTGTTTGGTTTGGGTTTCCGTCACTTAGGTTTTTATTTTGCAATTTCATGGTCTTCTTTCCTTTTTTAAGCTTTTTTAATAAATTTTCCTACATGCAATGCAACTAGTGTGTGGTGGCACTAGTCTAGTTGTTTTCAAGAAAATAAAAAGGGGGGGTAATTTCCAATTGGTGGTTCATATTTTGATACATGGATTTGAGCATGAGAGGGAAAATAAGAAATTGTGGTTGTTTATTGAATTTTTTTTTTTTACTTTGCGTAATGTACATTATATATGCTTATTTTATGTTTATATGATTTAAATTTTGCTTAAATATATTATTTAAGTAAGTATTAATTTTAGTTTTTATAAAAAAAATCTTTGTTTTTCATTTTATAAAATTTGTAAACATTGAATGGGTGTTTTAAATATAAATTATATTGTAAATACATTAATTTTTTAATATATAAATTATATTTTAAAATTATAATAAATGAATTATGTTATAATATAATTTTTTAAAAAGAATATTAAAATTTAATTATTTATGAACAAACTATGTGCATATATTTTCATCACATTAATAGGTGTTAGTTTTTGTATTAATAACTGTTTTTTATTTTACTTTTTTCTTCCAAAGTAAATTTACCATTGTAAAAGAGTTTTTATTTTACAATCATTGTAAATGAGGTTTATCCTTTGTGGCATCCAAACGAAAGGAATTAAAAATATTAAATACTACTGTAATAATAAGATTTTTTTTCACTTGTTTTTATGTTAATCTTATGTTATTAAAACTTCTAGAAAAATTATAAATAAATAATTGTTTTCTGACAAACATTAAAGTGAATAAGAAGTTGTACTACGGTCTATGAATTAAAAAAATAAATAAATAAGAAATGATATTATAAAAGATTTTAACAATAAACCATTCTTTAAAAAAAATGATTTATTTTATTTTATTTTGTAAAAAATAATAATTTTTAAAGTAATTATTTAAAATTAGAATTAGACAACATGAAATTACCTGATAATATATATATATATATATATATATATATATATATATATATATATATATATATATATATATATATATATATATATATATATATATATATATATATATATATATATATATATATATATATATATATATATATATATATATATATATATATATATATATATATATATATATATATATATATATATATATATATATATATATATATATATATATATATATATATATATATATATATATATATATATATATATATATATATATATATATATATATATTTATTTATTTATTTATTTATTTATTTATTTATTGAGGATATATGTATATATAAATATATAAAAAATAATGATGACAATGTAACAAATGTGAGTTTCAGTATTCTCATTTTTATTTTCAAGTTACTGTATATTAATTATCGTTCTCATATTCGATAGATATGAAATTTGTATCTTATTTTTGTTATTGTCGAGTATTGAGTATATTCATACTCGTTTGGAAATTAATTTTTACAAAAAAAAAATTATAAAAAAATCAATATAAGAAAACAATTACAAAATTATGTTAATTAAAATTAATTTAACATAAATTTAAAATATTATAAAAATTACATAAATCTCAAGTAAATTATAAAAAGAGTAAATTGAGATTCTAAAAATATAAAAGAGTGATAAGAACAAGGATGGGTACAGGAATAATAAATATATATCCATCTTCGTTCTTGTATTCAATTTAATAAAATAGGTATTACTCATATTTATATTCGTGTTCATATCCGATCAAATCAAATATTCTTAGTCTAAGTTTTAGTAGGTTTGATATTATCATGAGTACAAATTTATTTGACATCTCAAATAACAAATTTATATTTAAAAATTATGTATCATTTACTATATGTAATTTTGTTTAAGTTGAGTAAGATCAATGATGATAACAATTTTTTCTTTCAAATATTTAATATAATTATATAGTTAAACTCAAACTCAAAATTACCTGTACAGGAAAGGGAAAAGGCCACTTTCGAATATCCCATTCGGCCACCACCTAAAACGAACACCCTATTCGGCCCTAGTCTAGGTCGAAGGGTATCAAAGAAAACCCTAAAATCCAGGTCGAACACCCTATTCGATGTTAGCTTAGGTCGAGTACGGACCACCCATTAAAAGGAGAACCAAGACAACCCAATGAGCATAAAGGGGATTCGGTCAAGGGTCAGGTTGAATACCTCTTCGACCAAGAGGTCAGCCGAGACAGGGCCATAAGTTATCTCAAGGAAAGCTAAACAGTGATGTCCACGTCAAATTAACATTAGGATTTAATTAGGGTTTAAAAACCCTAATTACCCATCTCATCGGCAAAAGGTCCATCAAACCCAAATACGTCACTATAAATACACCTATGATGGAACAAGAAAAAGGTATGATCATTTAATATTATAGCCTTTATTGCTCTATACCGAATACTCACTTGAGCGTCAAAGTGTCTTTGCAAGTATCCTCCCCATCCACGTGAGCAAAAGATTTGGGATATCACCATCACAAGGCCAAGAAAATCAATCACAAAGGAGGAAAGCGACAAAGAAGTGTTTCTTACAAGAACATTACCAGTTAAGTTAGAATAATTCAATATAATTAATCCGCGTACTTTTTGATTATTTTCATATGTCTATTTTTTAAAATATAAAACTTTAGTCCTCACATCAAATTGACATTTATTAATCTTTAAGTTTTAACGATTACTCATACTTATGCAATGTGATAATAAGAATCGTAACAGTTGAAGATAAAAAAGAACTAAAAAAAAACATAGGCGAGTAAAATTTATTAACAAAATAAATACTTATCACTCATTAAAATAAATACAGATAGATATTTGTATATGTTATTTTTTTTTAAAAAAAATTTATCACATCACTTAATTAATGACAAGTCATCAAATAACGTTAAAATTTAACGATCAACAAATTTTAAATTGATAATAGGGCTAAAATTTTATATTTTTAAAAATAGAAGAACCTAACATCTTTATTTTAAAATAAAAAGACTAAAATTATAAATTAATAAAAATTAAAATCAAAATCAAAAGTCTAATTTTACTTAAATATTTATATTTGTATCATAGGAGAAAAATCAAGCAAATTAACATCTATCGCAAGCTAACATATTATTTAAATAACAAAAAAAAATTAATTAAAATATACTGAAAATGTAAAAGTTTTTTCACAATATTATTTATTTATCTAATCATAAATTACTATATATGATAAGATTATTAACGTGTATATTGATTATTTTAGAAATCATATATATAATAATTTATAATCAATAGATAATATAAAAATCTTTACATCGACTACATATAAAAATTAAACTAATCAAAATAATGTTTGAGAATGATTATTTTAATAGAAAATATAACTATTTTTTGAAATAAACTAAACTAAACAACAGCACTAAGTGTCTAATAATAATTGCGGATAAACAAAAAATGTGTAATATTAACAAGTATCGGATAAAACAAAGAGGTGGCAATAGTATTGCGTGAGGATAGCGAGGATTGATCCGCGAATGATGCCCGTCACAATCTAAGTCCCACACTCACTTTCACTAATAATTTATTTGTTGGACCCCAATCAATTGGCACCTATCTGTTTTAGAATCTATGGGCCCTTAAGGCCTGCAAATTTGGATCTAAAGTATCATCAACATGCATAATTTTAGATAAATTTCAATTTATAAGTAATATATAGTTTAATTCGTAACAAATCGCTAAAAGCTTAAACTTTAAACCTTAATAATTAAGTAGCAAAAAAATATAATTTTAATTGCATAGGATTATCATGTAAATAATTTTTTAAATATACATGCATCAATATATATGTATAAGAAAGTAATCAACTGAAAAACATAAAGATTCTTTGATAGAACTACAACACAATCTTTGTATATACATTTATATATTCACACACACATATATATACATACACAATAATTCAAACTAAAAACATAAATACTAAGTTGTCAGACAAACAACAATTATAGCTAACTACATTAGAGTAGTCCAACACAACATCGTCTTCCTTCAACATGACTCTTAAAATGTGTTCATCCTTCAATCTATTTTTGTCATACTCCTATAATAAGTATAATTATCAAAAAATGCAAAAATAAGCTTAAAAGGCAGCAAAGTAACATAACATAGAAATAAAATATAGTTATAGTATCAATATTATCATATCAACATAATGATGGTTAAATGTCTAGCTCAACAACATATATCAACTTATAATATAGATTTGCAACTCAACAACTACTCAGCATATAACATAATGTATCATTAACAAAACTTGACAACACAATATGTGATCAACACAACAACTCAAACAACACTACAACAATAAAAACACATCCACTTCAAATACATATCAACATAGCAACATGATGTGTCGTCATACATTTAAATTAAGAGACCTCTTATAACACAAGTGAATAGTTTAAATAGTTTAACCCTACTGAACTAACTTAACAACACAATCTTTTTAAACTTGATAAATCAACAAAAATTTATATATCAAATCACAATACCATGATTTCTCGAATTTCACCACTTAAATAAGGAAAGTTCAGTATTCCTATAAAAGGATAATACAATTTGAGTATGAGTCTACTACGATCTTAACATACATAGTTAAGCTTGTGTAGAATTAGTCTACTGACCACCCTTCAAATATTGTGTCTCTTCTAATACTTAATTAGGGATTTTAGTCATCAACCTTATACCTTACTTGATTGGTCACTTCCAAACTTAGGGTTTGTATCCCTAAAGTTTTCTTTTTTTTGTTTTAATGTTTGAAATATGTCAGTTAAGATTCTAACACACTTCTAAACCTAGGGTTTGTCAACTTTAGTTTCATCTCAAAATAACTCCTAACCAACTATACTCATAAAAATTTCTTAATTCTTAGAATCTCACAACATAAAACAACTAATCAAAAACATCAATTAATTTAATAAAATCAAAATTGTTAACAAAATGTCACAGTGTT